TATCATGATATACAGTGTATTTCAAATTAGCATATAATCACATGAAGTGGCTTGCCTCCGGATGGAATACTAAACTATGATTTCAATGCTACGTGAACAAAGAGATCATAAATTCCTTCCTCTGATAAAACTGCGAGGCTGAATGTCAATGCTGCTAACATTGGATGTTCTTGCTTTGACAACAGATGGAAATGTAGCCATCTTTTTTTCTTTCGCTTTTAGAGTTAGATGATGCTGGGAGGGGGGATGTGGATGAGAGTCCAGTTAGTCATAACAACAATAAATTAGCCGTGGGAATCAAGGTTATTGCACCCAGAGCTGATAAAGATTTGGCGGGTCTGGAGAGCTGGGGAGAAAGCCCCCACTTCGAGCTAATTGGGGAATGTGATTTATGACTGTTAACTGGAGAGGGAATTGTGCTTTGCTACTTTGTGGAGGGGGGGTTCAGTTTTTTGTTTTAATTATGTAGTGCTGGTAGGCTGTTTCTTGAACAAAAGATTCTTTAAGGTAAACAATGCCTCAAAGTTCTTTAAAGAGGTGCTAAAATGGATATGGTATCTTATAGACAGTTACTTAGATGGGATGGACAAAACTGGCAGTTAAAATCACGGGAAGAGTTAGCACAAGAAAATATTATTTATTCTTGGTTCCAATATAGGCAACTAGTAGATAGATGGAAGGTGGATTGTAAGGTGGGTCTTCTTAGAGAAGATGAAAATCTTATTAAGCAAGTGAAGGATCAAAGACAAACCCACATTAAGAGGATTTATGGGGTTTTAGTTGAATTGGATTCAGAAACGGAACTAATTAAAGATTGTATGATCAGATGGGCGCAGAATTTTGGTGAGCCAGTTCCATTGGACATTTGGGAAACCATTTGGGTGAGAAATGTCAAATTTACACAAGCACAGAACTTAAGGGAGAATTTTTATAAAATGTTTTATAGATGGCACCTTGATCCACAAAAAATGTCTCTTATGTACCCTGACTTACAACCTAAATGTTGGAGATGTGGTTGTACGGATGCTACCTATTATCATATTTGGTGGTCGTGTAGAGAGATAAAAGCATTTTGGATTAAGATATGGTGGAATATCCAGAGAATTTTTAGAAGGAGGGTAAAATTTACTCCGCAATTATTTTTATTGGGTATAGTTACTGACTGTGATACAAAGGAGGTTATATTGATGTTAAATTTGATTACAGCCGCGAGGCTGTTAGTAGGACAATACTGGAAGAAGGAATCTTTGCCTACATTGCAGGAATGGTTTCTTAAAGTGTCTTATTTGGCGGAAATGGCAAAGATTTCGGCTTTTTTAAAGGAACAAACGCAAGAGAAATTTCTTGCTGTTTGGGATAAATGGATAAAATTTATACAATTTAAATTGGATATAAAAAAATATCATATAGCTTTTTCATAATTTTTATATATATATATATATATATATATATATATATATATATATATATATATATATATATGTTAATGCTATATATTTTTTTCTTTTCTCTTTCTTTTTTTATAAATATAATTTGACTTAAACTGTTTTTTTATATATATATATATATATATATATATATGTTAATGCTATATATTTTTTTCTTTTTCTTTCTTTTTTTCTATAAATATAATTTAACTGTTTTTTTAATTAAGCCTATATCCTGCTTTGGGAAGCTCGGGGGGGGAAGGGGGGGTGTTTGGGTGGGGGTGGGGGGAGGGGGGTTTTGTTGTGTAATGTTTAGGTTTTTTTTCTTTTTGTATATGTGGTTTTTTGTTATTGTATTGTTATGTTTTTCTTTGTAAAATTTATAAAACTTTTTAATAAAAAAAAAAAGTTCTTTTAAAGAGTTTCATCTGTCGGAACCATGACACTGAAATTATCAGCTTCCTGTTCCTTGGGTTACACATTTCCTTCTGACAAGAAGAGGATGAAAGGCCTAGCTTTCTTCATGACTTTTTTTGGATACATTCCACTGAAATGTCTCAAAGCCAATATTTTTAACTGACAGAAGGAGAAAACTATTAAACAGAAGAGTGAAGAATGATTGAGAATACAAATCTGTTAAGATTAAGTATAATGAAATGAAATGAAACGAAACGTATTTGCAGTCCTAGCCCCAGCCATTGTTTCTGGGAAAGTCACACAAATTTGTTCTAGGTTGGCAAGAGATCGATGAAAACATTTAATAACAGTGTCAGCAAAATACGAGCACAGGTATAGATTTACATAATATACATTTCTAAAAATATATTGTCCTAAGTAAAATGGTTCAACTTCAGCGTTCAGTGCTTTTTCATTTGTTGGGAAAAACCTGCGCAAAGCAATTATTTACATACATTTTATCCGGAGAGCAACTTCCTGGGAAAATAATGGAAAATTAACAACTTTACTGTTTTACACATGACTTAGTGTGTAAACGGTGCATGTGCGCCTTCAAGTCAATGTTGATTGATTCCTGGCAACTGCGTGAACTAGCTCCTGCCATTTTCTTGGCAAAATCTTTGAAATGATTTGCCCTTGTCTGCTTCCTAGGGCAGAAAGAGAACGACTGCTCCAAGATCACCCAGTTGGCTTCGTGCCCAAGTTGGGACTAGAAGCCCCCCCCCACCTCCCAGTTTTTAGCCAATACCTTAACCATTACACCAAAGTGGCTCTCTTGACAGTAAGTACAGATACTCCTCGACTTACAACCAAAACTGAGCCCAAAATTTCCACCGCTAAGCAAGACAGCTGTTAAGTGAATTTTGCCCCATTTAATAAGTGAATTGCTGCACTTGTTAAGTAAGCTACATTGTTAAGTGTCCAGTGAATCTGGCTTCCCCACTGACTTTGCTTCTCAGAAGGTCACAAAAGATGATCGTACGACCTTGGGACTCTGCAAACACATGCTAGTTGTCAAGCATCACAGGACCACAGGGATGCTGCAATGGTCCTAAGTGTAAAAAACAGTCGTAAGTCACTTTTTTTCAGTGTTGTTGTCACTTAGAACGATCACTAAACGGATAGCTATAAGTCAAGGATTACCTGTACTCGACATATTGTTATTTTACCCCCTTTTTATACGTAAGTCAAAATGGCAAATATACCTAATATCCCTGCCTATTTCCCTACAACAACAGCCCTATGAGGTGGTTGGGCTGAGAATGAGTGCCTAGCCCGGGGGTAGGGAACCTTGGTTCTTTTTATGACTTGTGGACTTCAGTACCCAGAATTTCTGAACCAGCCATGCTGACTCAGGAATTCTGGGAGTTGAAGTCCACAAGTCATAAAACAACCAAGGTTCCCCATCCCTGCGCCTAGCCCAACATTGCCTAGTTGGCTTTCATGCCTAAAGGAAATCTAGAACTCACAGCCTCCTGGTTTATAAGCCACTGTCTTAACCCTATACGAAACTGATTCTAATAATAATAATTGTAGTACCAAGGGACAGCAGAAAGGAAATAAGAGAAAGTCACAAAATGCAAAGACCACAAAACAGAAGAATGACCATGGCAAAAGAAAGCAAAAATAGTACCAGCTGTAAAAGGTGCCTTAAGTGCAATCCCAAAACAAGTGGAGCCCCGCTTGAACCCCACTGGCATTGACAAACTCATCACCAGTCAACTGCAAAAGGCTCAGATTATAACCTGCAATGATACTTTTAATGCCATCAAGTAACAACGTCTGCCTATTTCAGGTCCTTCGGAAGGACTTGATAGATGGTTAAAAATCCATATCCAGCCTAAAAATGTGGCCGACTCTGTGACCCACCATAAAAATGAAAAAGATGACATGTTAATGCTAACTGATGAATTGTAAAACTAATGTGGGTGGTGTGTTCAGAATTTATGCTACCAGGACACAGTAAATTAATAAACCCGATGTCAGCGCTATAAACAATTTGCCTTGAAGTTCTTTTGATGGGTTTCATCTATCGGAACCATGACACCTGATCATCCCGCGAATAAAATTGTCACACTGTGCTTTAAGGGAACTAGTGCACCCAAAGCTGGATTTCTGTCAGAACCTTCTTCTCGGGAGCTTCTCTCAACCTACTTCCATGAGCTTCCAAAGGGGACTCATTAAGCATGACAGTACCTTTTGATTCATGGCTATAATCTACATAGACTCCCTTGGTTTTCAACAATGAAGCAACAGAAAACAAAAACAAAATTAACAGTAGTGTGCAATTACTCAGAGATCACCCACTCACTGTTCCCCTAATGCCTTCCAGAAAAAGTTGTTTCTATGAATTTCTGGAAGATCGTAAGGGAAGTGACTAACCTGGCCCCAAAGAAAAGGCTGTCCATAGCATAAGCATTGCAGCAGAGAAAGATAATCTGCATATCCCTGCACTATTAAGCTCCCAGTATGGAGCTTAACAGTGCAGTGTTTTAACAGGGTGTGCTTGTGGTGAGTTTTAAACTTTTTTTTTTTTAAAAAAAAATCCTTTTTCAAACAAGCATACATAAGAATTGAACAATTCATTGCCTACTAAGAAGAAAGGGAAAAACATAGCACAACAAATAAAACAACAAAAAACCTGTAATGACAACTATATTTCCAAATCACCTGATGTTTTTTTTATTATTTATCTTATTTTTCACATTTTTGAAGCATCCATCTTCTCCCTTGGGGATGGAACTTTTAAAAGAGGAGAATAAGCTTTCAATTGTTTCACCAAGCCCATCCAAGAACTTCTTCCAAAGGAAGAGATAGCATGACATTTTCTGATCAACAGAATTGTATAATTTTCTCAAAAATGGCTAGATTACACACCTCCAAAATCCCATCCTTAATATTTGGAGTTAGAACATTTTTCCATCTCATAACTATTTTATTATTATTTTTTGCAATCCCCCTCAGATTTGCTCATGATACACCCCCAGGAGAATCTTTGTACTAGGCATCAGCTGCTATACTATATAAAATATGATTGTGTCAGTAATTGTTTTTTTAATGCCCTTTAAGGAATGGAAAAGCAAAAAAACAACAAAAGAAAACCTTATTAAGACTTACTGTTTGGCTGTCAGGAAAATCCATCTTCAGCAATTTATGGGCACATTCCTCAAAATCTAAACTAGAGAAGGACAGAGAAAGGGAAAATATATATTTATCTGTACATAACTGACTTTCATCCCTAACATGGTAAAAGCTTCTCACAAAACCTCAAAGTGACTTTGGTGTAACACCAAAACCATGCTGGTTTCAACTACTGTTCAGGCAAAGGCATCTTAAGACATCTACATCCCAAAATTTATAATGTAAGAATTATTTTTAACTGTAAAAGAACCTTCAGAACTTCCCATACGGCAAGACCTCTCTTACTAAAGTCAGACAACTCATTGTCACTTGATTAAATCAGAACATCACTGGTCTCTGAGCCTCAAATCTGTTGAAGTAAGTTTACATGACAACCGGTTTGCTATAGCGGTAAGGTCCCAGAGTAGAAACCAGGAGACAATGAGTTCTAGTCTTGCCTTTGACGTGAAACCAGTTGAGTCAACTTGAGTCAGTCACTCTCAACCATAGGAAGAAAACCGTAAAAGTCCATTTTCAAAAATCTCGCCAAGAAAACTGCTGGGACTCGTGCAGGCAACTGCCAGGAGTCAACAGTGACTCAAAAGTAAATACACAAGTATAAACACATGCAAGAAGTTCATTAAGGAAAGAAAACAATGCATACATCAATATATGAAAATTCCATTTTCCTCCTCATTAAGAAGCCCAATGTATTTTAGAACTATGTACATTTCTGTTGAAAAATAATTCTATTTTAGCAATTAATGTTTTTTCCATGAGCTCCAGCCAAAACCAATAGATTTTCAGACAAGACCAAAACAAGATGATTCTCTTTTATGAGTCATTATTACTGTAACATCATATTAAACAGAAATGTACCAATTCTAGTAAACAAATTAAAACACTGGCTTTTTCCACAATGTAATTTCATAGAATAACTGTTCGATGTAAAAGAGGCAATAAAAACATTGGCAAATATTTTTAGTTCTATGCTAATTATCTTTTATTCTACAAGTGCAGATTTATCCATTTGAAATGTATGAATCTTCTAATTTCAATAGATTCCAATTTAGAACCTTCCACAATTTATGGTTTTACAGGTATATATGACTGCAAATCGTCAATGACAGGAATCTGAAGAGTTGCAGTCCAACAAATTTGAAAGGAATCAGTTTGATAAGAGATAATTTTGCAGTGCATTCCTAAATATAAAGAAAAATGTACAAGCCCTCTAGATTGAAGCTAACATTTTGCATGCTGTCATCTAAGATGCTAGTTTGCAAAAGTGCCTGCAATTTATGTTACAACGGTGTCAAATTTCAACAGAGAGTTATATTTCATTTTACCTTGACTGAATTGCAAGGTAAATAGTTCGCCGGAAAGAAACCAAGTTAATTTCCGTTTTGTCATGGATGGTAACCTTTTGTCCTTGATCAATAAAAGGAAATAAACAAAAGATTAGGATAAATCATTCAGGAAAATTTTTTACATAGCATTGCCAACACATTATTTCAGATAGGATTGTTCAAAATAAATGACTTCTCCATGAAAAATAACTGAACTTGGAAGCTAAGCAAGAATAGGCGTGATTAATATTTGATAGGAAACTATCCTGGAAGCCCAGCAAAAAAGGCTAGACATTGAAGTTTAAAAACATTCTGAAAGGAAGCAGTTTCAGATGAAAGGAATTATCTTTGCCTTAAAAAAAAATTACGTGAGAAAAAAAACAGCTCGTTTCACAGTCATACCATTTCAGTGTACAATTTGGGGGCATTTATATTTAATAGAGAAACCGTGAGTTTTCAAGTCTAGCTTGACGCTAAAGTGATCAAGGGAATTTCAGCCAAATTTCAAAGAGGGGTGGGGTGGGGTTCTCCTATGCCAGTGGTGGCGAACCTATGGCACGGGTGCAAGAGGTGGCACTCAGAGCCCTTTCTCTTGGCACACATGCCATCACCCCAGTCCTAGGCCTTCAGCAGGGTTTTATAAAACCTTTTCGCTTTAGGCCTTCGCTGCTGTGTACAAAAAAAAAAAAAAAGGTTCAATCAATCAATTTCAACTTTTCGCGGGAAAAAGAAAGCTCTTGCAAAGTTGGAATTGATTGATTGAACTTTTTAGTCCCACCCAGTCTGCCGTTACCACCGCAGCCACGCCCATCCAATGGGCCACACCCATCCGGCACCCGACGATGCATAAGTGGGTTTTGGGTTGCAGTTTGGGCACTTGGTCTCTAAAAGGTTTGCCATCACTGTCCTATGCCTCTAAGAATACTATGCATAACAACATATAACAATTGCAACAGAACAGGAGGTAAGATTTCATCGTGGTCCGATGCATAACTAAACAAACTGTTTGAACATAAATAAATACCCAGAGCGTTTAAATAAGCACTGTTCATGATGACAGTCTGCAGTAATAACCATCTTCTTTTTTTATTTTTTGGCCTGTGACAAACAATGCTTTTCTACAATACTGTTTAAAAAAAACCAGTATTTTTCAGATTTAGCAACCCCCTCAATGTGTTCCTGTGTTTCTCTAGAACCATTTTCTACTGTATAAATATTTGTATAGATGTTAACTGTAGACTGTCAAAATATGCTAAGCTGCTTTATTTGTGAACCCTAAAGGGGTGATCAATGCAAAACAAACCCCACCCTCCTACTTTGTAAACAGTTAAGTATTAGTATTGGACAAGATTTAGTAGAGATAAAAAGTTTTTAAAAACTTGATTTCAAAGGAAATAATTTTAAGCAAACCTTAATCTCCGTAGTAAATTTTGTAGATCTTATGTGGGTTTTAAAGGCTGTCCGAATGCACACTATGCTATTATACCTAATATTTGGCCCAGCCATTCCATTAAAAACCCAACAAAAATACCATACTTCTCTATAAAACTGTGTTTAGAATTGTAATGAAAATTAATGTAGAACAGGAAAAGAAATTTAAAACAAAAGCACCACTTCTCCTGGTGATTCTCTCCCCTTGGAATATCATCCCTTCAGAAATCAGACTGACAGTCTTTCGTAAGTACCCGAAGGCTTGGTTTTTGTCAGAAGGGCCTGGAGAACCCAAAGTGGGATGGAGCCCATCAAATGGCTCGTTTGACTGTGTGTTGTCAACGGACAGGTGGGTGGGTGGATGGGTTATTGTTTTTATTTTTATTTTTTGTTCTATACTGTGCTTTTATTGCTTGTAAGCCGCCTAGAGATGCTGTGAGCAAGTAGGTGGCTGTATAAATTTTCTAAATAAATAAATAGAATAAGTATTTTTGGCAATGACAGAAGCAGGTGAGAAGAAAAAAAGTTAATGTTTATACTTGAAAGAAATCAAAAGTTAAAGGCAAAAATGAAATAAGATGTGTGTATGCTAGTTCCAGTTGTGATAAAGAGAACATTGGGCTTCCATTTCTTAAACATCAGCACTGCTTTTCCAGCAGACACACAAAGTCAAGATTTTCAAAAATAGATTAAATAGCCACTAATAGGGGCTAATTTTTTAAAAAACGTTTTTACCTCCTAGTGAGTAAACTTTACAAGCGCTTTAAATATACATGGTTATGGAAATGCTCTGTTTAAGGGTAGTAAGTACAACTAAATCACCCTTTATCTACATAGATTCACATCTGCTAACTAAGTCAGTACATTTTCCTGAGTACGACACAGAAGGCCTACGATGTTCATATACTTTATACCCAATGATAACACATTAAAAACACCTGGTTTGCTTCCATGTTCAGTTCAAGGTGTTGGTTATGATCTTTAAAGCCCTACATGGCATGGGGTCAGGGTACCTGCTAAGCTCTTTTTGGCCCATTACATCATCCTGTCCCACCCAGTCAGGCAGAGAAGGTATACTGCAGACCCATCAGTTAAAGAATTTTTGTTTGGAGGGGTCCAGGAAGAGAGCGTTCTCTGCCCCTGGAAAAAATTCTTCTCCCAGAGGCGAAGGGGGCTCCCACTCTCATGACCTTTTGGAAATGTCCAATGACCTGGCTCTGCCTACTTACTTGGGGCAGACAGAGGTGCATATGGCCATGGGGCTGGTAATTGCCTTAAATGCCCTCCCCTGCTTTGTAATTCTGAATTTTAAATATTTTATTCTTGTATTAATCTTGATTTATGATATAATATTCATATGGTTTTTTTCTGTTTTTAAGTCTTCTTAAACTCTGCCCAGAGTTGTGAGGGAGATGGGCAATTTCTAAATGTTATAATTAAAGAGAAAGCATATTTTAATATAAATCAAACTTAGATTTATTGTACTGCTATAGTGTATTACCCACAGCTCTGAATAATTTACCCCACTTAGTTTAAATGAAACTCTTACCTTCTTCATCCTCCTCTTCTTCCTCTCGTTCTTCCTCATCCTCCTCTTCACTACTACCAGCATCCTGATCAGCTTCTGAGTCACTGTCACCTTCATCAAGGATTTCTACATTACCCAAAAAATAAATTCAAATTAATAGATTTGACTGAGTCAGCAGCATGTAGGACAGAGAAGAGCTTTAGAAATAAACAACCATGCACAACTGAGAACTTGAACCCACATACCTTTTTTCAGAGTTTTGTATTTCTCTTCGTTGTCCATAAATTCAGGGTCCATTTTGAAGACGTCTTCCCAAAAGGAGGAAAGAAAACATTGAAATGATGCTCTTACGTAATTCTAAAGCATACAAGCATACATTTGATCTCAAAAAGCATACTTACTGAGAATGTCATCTGGATTATACTCATCTTCCAAAGGTAACATGTGGGTAAATTGATCCTCCTCCTCCACAAGATCAAGTCCCTCTGGAATTACTGGGTGATCTTTGAATCCATCTTTGCGCACGGCAAACATGACTTCAATCATGTATTGGACACGCTTGTCAGTTTCAGATTCATGAAGGACATGGCGAAGGCGGTCAAAGATGGCTGTGGTGTAAAAACAGTTCAGATGGGGGCTGCCAATTCAGGAATCAAGGAGGAGCATAGGATTGCCTACTTACCGTTAATACCTCTAGGGGACACTTCTGTTAACTTGAGGCCACAATCCTTTAGAAATCCAATTGATACTTCAATGCTATCATCTGTAGGTCTTTCCAGGAGCAACGTGAGCATTTCCAAACATAAAACCTCATGAGCCTGATAGGAAAACAACACAAAATATTAGTAAAGAAAATCAGATACTTAAAATAGCTGATAAAATACAACACTACTGCAAGAAGTGCAATGAGCTCAGGGCAACACGTGCTGACTTTAAGTCATCTCATCCCATCCACAACAGAGCAGTCTGAAGTATCCAAAGTCCAAAGTCAGATCCAACTGGATATGCCTATAGGAATTCTCTATTCAGGGGTCCCCAACACCCGGTCTGTGGACCGGTATTGGGCCACGGCATGCCAGCAACCAACCGGTCTACACAAACAAGCAAAGCCCCATCCATGAGATGCAGGCAGCACACAAAACCATGCACTCTTGGGTCCATGGAAAAACCTTTCTCCGCGGAACCGGTCCCTGGTGTTCAAAAGTTTGGGGACCTCTGCTCTAGATCAGGAAATGGCAATTAGCAAGGAATATTGTTTGAAACAAAACATGAAACGGTCAGCTGGAGAGATTAATTCCAAATCAACAGACCTTCTGCTATGCATTTTGCCTTTGGATAACTCTTTGCAGACAGATGGGAAATATAATGGAGAATGGTGGCAAACCTTTCTGGGGTCACTCTAAAATACGGGAGCTCACACCTTAGTCTAGGAAGGGCAAACCTCTTCCTAAATGGATCATAAGGATGCCTGATTAGGAAATCTCAAGACAAACTTAAGCCACATGCGGCTCCAGAGCTGCGGGTTGTCAACCCATGAGCTAAACTATCATGTCCCTATTACAGATAGCTTACCACATTCTGATTCATAAGATGTGCCACAAACTTGGAAGCTGTCAGGCACAGTTGCTGCAAAACAAAACACAAAGATACACATTATTCTTTTCTTCTTCTTTTTTCTATCATTACGCCAGGATGAACAACCTACAGAAGAGAAACATTACACCACACATAATGCTTGGCAATACTGCAATGTCATGAAGCGAGAAAGGACACATACAGGAGTAGCTTGTTTGGGACATATTTTGGGATATTTTGGGAAATTTCCTTGTTTTTTAATTGTCACTTTAAGTCTTATATCTATTTTCATGTATTTAATATTTCAAAATTATGAGAAATCATACTGTCATTCTTGAGCAAGACAGAGGAGACTGGAAAGGACACAGGGGTTTGTGGGCTACAAGTTGTCCATGCTAGCTTGAGGGGATTCAAGTGACTCACAGAAGTACTTAAAATTTTACAATTTAAAAAAAGAGATTGCCTGTCCCTTATTAGTTTTATTGGAAAAGGGACAAGAAATATTTACCATCTTCAGGTCAAACTAGAACAGTGGGATTAAGTTAGTGGGCCTATTTGAACTATGATTAAATCTACAATCAGTTTAGAAATTGTATTGCACAATTATGGCTTACATAATTATACAGTAATATGGCTTGACTCAGAAACTTCAATAAGCTATAATTGGTTTGTCTGCTTTTCGCATAATATAGTGTACAACTATGTAAAAAATGATGCATTTTTATAAGCCAGTTCTTATGCAACTGTCACTTCACTTTTACACTATATGGAATTGCAAGTATTTGCTTCTGTTTAACATGGATCTGTTCTGAGCGTCTGGATGATTTGATTTTTTTGTTCTTAGTCTTTACAATGGCAAAAAGCAAAATACAATATATTTGGACACAAAGAGATCAATACTTTGCTTCTTCATCTGCAGCCTCGCATATGTTTGCAACCATTTGATAAATTAATGTACTAAATCAATACTTTTTTCAATTCTGTTGTACATAAAGCATTTTGTTTTTCTTATATTAAAACATAATAGTTTCAATTTATATTTATTCCTGTAAAAATTAATCTTATATGGCCTTTTATTCTCTGTGATCCTTTCATGACAATATACCGATACACTAATGAGGAAATAAGTCTGACTGAGCATATTTTACTATGGCAGCTCAAAATCTAATAGACTCAACCTTATTCAGTTAGCCTGTTCAATAGTTGCTTCCATACCTTATCATTTCTTCGGTATCCTTTGCGAAAATTTAAAATGAGCCTCTTGAGAATCAATTCCCCAATATTTGGAAACTTGGAATTGATGATTGCTACAACTGCCGCGTATACATGAGTAAAGATGGGGGAAGCACTCTGGGCCTGCAAAATTGATCTTGCTAGTAATCCCCTATAAATGAAAAGAGAGACATAAAGACCCTTTTAAAAAAAAAAACAGAATTTAAGTTTAAACGCAGGTGACAAGGCATATGCAAATGAACTTCCTTAAAGTGTCTCCAACTTCTTAAACTTTTCAAAGCGATTTAAGTGTTACCTGACCGGGTAGATTTTCTTGTATGGATATTCCACCCACCCCAACAATCTACCCAATCAGCAGTTCCCCTGACCCTTTGAAATGTACTTATCGGGGGGGGGGGGAATCAGAAAGGGATACACTGGGAAGAAGTAGGTTGAAAAATCCTCTTCTACTAATACAATTTAATGCATCTAAATTCAGACTTAATCTTTTACTAGGCTCCCGTAAATTATGAGACATGGGAGCTTGAAGATAAAAGCATTGGCTTTTCTCCATTGCACTGTATTATCACTAAACTATTATGTCGCCTAACATGATATTCACTAGACAATTTTAGATTTTTCATCTGATCTCCTGTGCTTCATGCTGTAAGTTTATGTTGTGATATTATACAGTAATTTCCAAGAGTGTTTCAGAAAGGAATAGTTAACGCTTAATTCCAGGCAAAAAATAAAGAAACTTTTATTACAAATAACTCCCAAATCCCGATGTCTCATATGTCAAGTTGGCATTCATGTCTCCATTTGGCAGCCCAGGTCTCTATCAAACCTATTGTATTTTTGGGTCTTATAGTTCTAGTGAATATCAAATGGAGCTATACTCTTGGAAAAAAGCGATGCCATTCCACTGAAAAAAATAAATTCAAAACATTCCAAATTAAATACAGGTAGCCCTTGACTTACAACACTTCGTTTAGTGACCCTTCAGAGTTACAATGGCACTGAAAAAAGCGACTTATGACCGTTTTTTTTACAGTTATGACCATTGCAGCATCCCCATGATCATGTGATCAAAATTTGGATGCTTGGCAACTGGCAAGTACTTAGGAGTTACTTGCAGTGTCCCAGGTTCACGCAATCCCCTTTTGCAATCTTCTGACAAGCAAAGTCAATGGGGAAGCCAGACCCACTTATCAACTATGTTACTAACAAATCCTGCTTTGGGGATATATATTTTCAAAATGTTTTATTGACATTATTTTGCCGGATATTTTAGCCGAACCAGGCCTCAAGATTTTGCATTAGGCACAACATAACATGTCTCTTGAAACAAGCTTAGATCTACAAGCAGTCCTTGACTTACAACAGTTCATTTAGTGACCGTTTTCACTGCACTGAAAAGTAACTTATGACCACTTTTCACACTTATAACCATTGCAGCATCCCCACAGTCATGTGATCAAAATTCAGAGGCTTGGAAACTGACTCATACTTATGATGGCTGCAGTGTCCCGGGGTCATGCGATCAGCTTTTATAATCTTTTTTTTTTTATTGAAAATTTTTAAAGTTTTACAATAAAATACTCCCCCCTCCCACCCCATCACCCTCCCCCCTCCTTCCCAGAGCTGAATACAGGGTTAAAAAAAAAGAAAAAAACAACAAAAAACATACAACTTAAATGAACATCAAACAATTATACATACATCCAAAAAACAAATTTTAAATACTTTAACTCCAATACATAAAAACAAAAATTCTAACCATTACCCTTAAACATAAGTTATTCAAAAGCTAAATAGTACTTTCTAATCTCATATTTATTCTGTATAAAATTCACCCATTTCCACACCGAAATATATCTCTCTTGAGATTGGTCTTTCAGATAAGCCGAAATTTTTGCCATTTCAGGTAAATAAGAAACTTTAAGAAACCATTCTTCTAAAGTAGGCAAAGAGTCCTTCTTCCAATATTGCCCAATCAGCAACCTTGCCACTGTAATTAAATTCAACATTAAAATAATCTCTCTAACATCACAATCAACAATAATACCTAACAAAAACAATTGTGGTGTAAATTTTATCCTTCTATTAAAAATCTTCTGAATGTTCCACCAAATCTTGATCCAAAAGGCCTTTATATTTCTACATGACCACCAAATATGATAATACGTTGCATCCAAACAGCCACATCTCCAACATTTGGGCTGCACATTTGGATACATACGAGACATCTTTTGTGGATCAAGGTGCCACCTATAAAACATTTTGTAAAAATTTTCCCGTAAATTTTGAGCTTGAGTAAATTTAACATTCCTCACCCAAATCATCTCCCATGTATCTAATAAAATCGGCTCATCAAAATTTTGGGCCCATTTAACCATACAATCTTTAACTAATTCTGTTTCTGAATCCAATTCCACTAAAACACTATAAACTCTTTTTATATGAGTTCGACTTTGATCTTTGATTTGTTTCATCAAATTCACATCTTCCCTAATAAAACCCACTTTTTGATCTATTTTCCACCTTTCTAATAATTGCCTATACTGGAACCAAGAATAATTAATATTTTCTTGCACTAATTCCTCCATAGATTTTAATTGCCAATTATTCCCTTCCCAGTTAAGCAATTGTTTATAAGAAATGCTATCCATTTTCACTCCTTTCCTTATCCCTTCTATTGCCTGCCCTGGAATTCCCCACAACGGTATTCTAGAATCTGATCTATAATATTTCTTCCAGACACGCAATAAAGCAATTCTTAAAATATGAGGCTTAAAAACCCTATCCACCTTTTTATTATAAATTAAATACGCATGCCATCCAAATAATAGATCCCATCCCTCCAAAAAAAGTATATTTAAATTTGTTAAGTTGATCCAATCACTAATCAATGTTAAGACCACCGCATCATAATACAATTTCAAATTCAGCACCTTGAGTCCACCTCTCTCTCGAACATCTTGTATAATTTTAAGCTTTACTCTTGGTTTTTTCCCCACCCAAATGAATTTATTGATACCCTTCTGCCATTCTTCTAAATTTGCCTCTTTCTTTAAAATAGGTATCATTTGAAACAAAAAAAGAAATTTTGGCAGAACGTTCATTTTAACTGCAGCAATTCTCCCTAACAAAGATAATTGCAATTTTTTCCAATCATTCAAATCCTTCTGTATTTTAAACCATAACATTTCATAATTATTTTTATACAATTTTACATTAGAAGCAGTTATATAAACCCCCAAATATTTGACCTTTTTTACAATTTCAAAGCCCGTCAATTTAACCAACGTCTCCTTATCCAAATTAGTCATATTTTTAGATAGTATTTTAGTTTTATTATTATTGACTTTAAAACCGGAAACTTGTCCAAATTGGTTTATCAACTGTAACAACTCCAATACAGAATAAGTTGGTTGAGACAAGGTAACAACCAAATCATCTGCAAAAGCTCTTAATTTATAATCATTCTTATCAATCATTATTCCCTTTATTTTAGATGATTCACGAATTTTAATCAACAAAATTTCCAACGTTAAAACAAACAACAAAGGAGACAATGGACAACCTTGTCTTGTACCCTTTCCAATTTGAAAAACCTCAGATAAACCTCCATTAATTATAAGTTGTGCCGATTGTTTTTGATAAATACCTCGAAGAGCTTGCAAAATTTTATCTCCAAATCTTCAACCAACCTTAACATAAATTGCCAATTTAACTGATCAAAGGCTTTCTCAGCATCTAAAAAAATCAATCCTGCAGAAATCTGATTGTTTTTATCCAAATATTCTATTAAATTAATAATTTGTCTAACATTATTCTTCGTATATCTCCCAGTTATAAAACCTGTTTGATCAGTATGTATCACTTGATTCAATACTATCATAAGTCTATTAGCTAGAATTTTTGAAAAAAATTTATAATCTACATTCAGAAGAGATATAGGTCTGTAATTTTTAGGTAAAGTAAGATCTTGATCCTCTTTTGGAATCAGAGATATAAAAGCCCTTCCCCAAGATGGGGGTCTCTAAGCCCAATAATATATTATTAAAAAGTTCCTTTAAGGGCTCTATCATCTCCTCACTTAAAGTCTTATAATAAATTGATGTCAATCCATCGGTGCCAGGTGCTTTACCAGCTTTTAATTGTTTAATTGCCATAATAATTTCCTGTGAAGTAATCAATCCATTGATCTCATCTCTTTGATCATTTGATAACTTAGGAAAATGAGCATCTTGTAAATATTTATCTATATCTGAACTCTGTACCTTCTTACATATATAATTTTGTATAAAAATCTAAAAAAGATTTTTTGACCAATTATTTCTGAAAAATCACTTTACCATTATAATTTATTTTATCTATAATTCTCGACTTCTGTTTCTTCCTTAATTGATAAGCCAACCACCTACCTGGCTTATTCGTATTACAAAATGTATTATGTTTCATATAAAGTAAATTAGTTGCAGCCTGATCAGCCATTAACATATTAAACTGTGTTTTAAGCAAATTTATAGAAGCCTTTACATTCTTATCCGAAGGATTCAAAATTAATACTTTTTCTTTTATTTTAATCTCATCTTCCAATTCTTTACATTTTTGCATCTGTTTTTGCCTGTAAGCCTTATTCATTTGAATCAGAACCCCACACATATAAGCCTTACTAGTATCCCAAACCATTGCCTTGAGGTTCCCTTATGCATATTTAAAATAAAATATTCCTCTCTAAGTTTCTGAACATTCGCCTCTTGTCTAAATAAATTTTCATTCAGCCTCCAAGATCTTCTCTCCTCTTTCTCAGCAACCAATTCCATCCATACAGGACTATGATCTGTCAATGTCCTTGGAAAAATCTTTACATTTTTTACCCTGAAATGTAAATCCGTTGTAATCAGAAAAAAATCAATTCTTGAAAACGATTGGTGTCTGTCAAAAAAAAAAGTGAAGTCTCTCTCTTCCATATTGCGTTCCCGCCAAATATCTCTCAATTCCAAGTCATCTTTCAAATCAAAAAAAGCCTTAGGTAATTTGGCTTGCTTGAAAGAAGTAGAAAGTCCTTTCTTATCTCTATGTGTGTCCAAAACTCCATTCCAATCCCCCATCAAACTAACAGATCTATAATCCAATGAAATCAATTTTTGATGTAAAAATCTATAAAACTGTTCTTGTTGTTGGTTAGGAGCATACAAACCCACTATAAGCAGTTTCTTGCCATACATTCCCACTTCAATCATAACATATCTCCCTTGAGGATCAGAATCTATTAATACAGCTGACAAATTTTTCTTAACATAAATGACAACACCCCCTTTTTTCCCAGGAGCAGAAGATACAAAATGAGAACCCAATCGAGCATTAATCAAATATTTTTGATCCTTTAAAATAATATGGGTTTCCTGCAAACAAACAATATCATTATTATATTGCTTCAAATAATGAAATATTTTCTTCCTTTTCTGTGGAGAATTGAGGCCGTTAACATTCCAGGTCAGGAGCTTTGCCATCTCCTCCATCTAGTAGCCTGGAGAAGACTGCTTGAAGATCTACCATCGAAGATTGGACCAATGAAGATCTCTTAGGTCTTGCTCCTCCCACAGGCTCAGAAGCAGATTCTTGTGTAACTTCTTTGATTTCCTTCTTCTGTTGCTCCTTTTCTTTTCGTCTATGAGCTGCTCGGGTCATTCTCTGTTCTTTCATCTCAACAGACTGCTGTAACAACTCAGCCTGTAATTTTCCAGCTTTCATTGATACAACATCTTCAGCCAACTGCTCTCCCTCCTTCACTTCCAGAGCTTTGAACATTAAAGGTGGTGATGAACACGGTCCCAGGACCGAAATATAAAACTCTCTTGCCTTAGAGACAGTATTAAGTCTATAACGTGTCCCCGCGTGACTCACCACAATTCCAATTGGAATGTCCCATCTAAATGGCATCTGTCGCTTTTTAAGTTCATCTGACAAAAAAAGCAAAGTCCTTTCTTCTTCCTAAAATTTTTGATGGGATCTCCTTTAAAATTATAACGTCCTAAGCAGCAATCTGGAATCTCTTGTTCTAAAATGCTTGTATAATTTTATTACGTAAAGATCTTTTTCCAAAATAAATCACCAAATTTCTCTGCTTTGCGATCCACGAATTGACTCTAAATATTTTTTCTATTTCTCTAAATATCTCCTCTGGATTCCTCTCCAAAATCACAGCAATATCATTTGCCACAACCTTTCTCAGGTTTTCTTGCATGTTTTCCCTCAAGCCCCTGATTCTTAAAGCGAACTCCATCTCTCTGTACTGAGACATAACAATTTCATCCTGTGAAGTTTCCACCGTTTTTTTCCATACTTCCAACCCTCTCTTCCAATAAATCCACTTTATCTGCAACATCCTCAATACGAGAATCCAACTTTTCAACAACAGAAGCAAGTCCTTTCAAAGCCAGTATTATGTCCTCCCTCAAGACTTTATTTCTCTCTTCTAAAAGCTCCTTCATTTCTTCTCTAATTTGACATACAACATTTCCCATAACATCTTGAATATCTTTTACCGTGAGTGGTGGTACAGACGGAGAGGGTGGTGGTGATCTAGGTTTAGGTTGTTGAGCTGGTAATATTGCCGGAGAAGAAGCCACCTTAGGCACAGCAGAGATCGCTTGAAGCTATTTTTTTAAAAAAAATTCTCCTTCTTAAAAAACAAATCCGAAAGACCAAAAAAAAAAGAACCCCTTTTCTATCTGTAAGAAGAAGAAATATTCCTCCTCTTACAAACACCCAAAGTCCCAAAAGTTTCTGAAACTATTATAACAAAAAAAAATAAAGAAGTAATAAAGTAACAAAAATCCTTTCACTTTCCTTACGTGCACTTAAAAAAAAAGAGAGAAACCTCTCATCGCCATTTTACTTTCCCTCACTATATATATAAAAAAGTATAATTCTATGGAGTTAAAGTCCAAATAAAACATAAAAATACAATCCATTGATCAGCTCTGTCTGCTTCAAAATCAACTCACCAGTTTACTTTAATTGTGGATGTGGGAGCGGCGTCTTGCTTTGTCCCAAAAACAACAAGGGACAAAGGCATCTGAGAAGCGTAGATGCCTTGGACTCCGTGGTAGCTCGCCTTTCACCCCAAAAAAATCACTTTGGGGTTTCAGAGGCTCTACCACTATCCAGGGTAAAAAAAACTCACCTCTTTCCTTTTGCCCGGGAAAGAAGTTTCAAACCGCGGAACAGCTGATGTCTGCTGTCCTCGGCGGTTTTAACACTGTCTCAGACGGACGGCTACAAAGTAGCCGCCATCGGCAACGCAGCGCCACCGGAAGCCCTCAGCTTTTGTAATCTTCTGACCAACAAAGTCAATGCAGAAGCCAGGTTCACTTAATAACCATGATACTAACTTAACAATTGCAGTGCTTCACTTAACAACCGGGGCAAGAAAGGTCGTAAAATGGGGCAGAATTCACTTAACAAATGTTTCACTCAGCCACAGAAACGACGGGCTCAATTATAGTCATACGTTTGAGGACTACCTGTATAACTAAAATAACAAATGACACCCTTGTACTTGTCAGAATGATGATAACTCTGCTACCTAAATCCAGTAGGAAAAATAGCATAGCTACAGCCCCCACAGAGAAAGCTTCTCAGTGCAAGCCAAAAGTCATTAACGTACTTTGGCACTAAGCTCAACAAGTATATTTTGCCTCCTAATTCAGATGTACAGATGTTTCCTGATCATTTGGGTTTTAATTAAGCACTTAGAAGAAGCAGGTCAGAATAGGATATTCGGACTTCATCAGAGGCTACTGCTCCCTCCTGTCTCAAAGCAGAAGAACCCTGACAGAAAACCCATTTCCCCAACAGCTTATCCTGACTGAAAAACCAGCAAGAGGGTAAATGGTTACTGTGTAACATGAACCAATTGCCACGAAACACAAGCCTTATTTTTATTCAGTCACACTACTAAATGCAATACAGGTCGTCCTCGACTTACGACCACGACTGAACCCAACATTTCTGTTGTTAAGTGAGACCTTTGCTAAGTGAGTTTTGCCCCATTTTACAACATTTTCTTGCCACAGCCATTAAGTGAATCACTGCTTTTGTTAAAGTTAGTAACCTGATTGTTAAGCGAATCTGGCTTCCCCGTTGACTTTGCCTGTCAGAAGGTCACAAAAGGGGATCACGTGACTCCGGGACACAGCAAAGGTCATAAATATGAACCGGTTGCCAAGCCTCTGAATTTTCATCACATGACCACGGGGATGCTGCAACGGACACAAGTGTGAAAAATGGTTGTCAGTCACATTTTTCAGTGCCATTGTAACTTTGAACAGTCATTAAACAAACAGTTGTAAATCGAGGACTATCTGTAAATTGAAGAGCTCAAGGAGCTAATCAGACAGACCATCACTTTTTATAGTATTTGAACGCCGCAAGATTGCAAAATGGAAATCCAGTGCACAAAAGAACAGTTAGAATTACAAAAACCAAATCCAAAACTGTCTGATTTTTGAGCACGACACTTAGAAGGCATTCACAATTCTTCCATCTCCACTCAAACTAGTTCATGGCCACGGATCAGAAAATATCCATTGTAATATAACAGAACCCCAGTTAGTATCTGTTTTTTTAAGACCTGATTGCATGTTGCATGCTTTAAAAGCTTCAAGTTAATGTGATCTCTGAATGTATAAAACATCTTGACTTCAATAGAATTTGCTAAGAACTAATCTTCAATTCATCTGCAAGCTTTTACCAAACCATTCTGACTTTAAAATGAACATACCAGCTTGACTCAAGCAGAACCCTCTATAAAAACATTATAGACTATTTTTAAGAAGAAGCCCAGATCTAGGGGCTGTGCAAGCAACATAAAACGTGTTTTCTTCAAACCCTAAGCAAACCCACTAAGTTAACAGGAATTCTGCAGTGACAGTGAAGAGCTGGAATATATTTAAATTATATCTGCAGGGATATCTTAGAGCAGGGGTAGGCAACCTTGACTCTTTTATGACTCGTGGACTTCAACTCCTAGAATTCCTGAGCCAGCCATGGTGGCGCAGCAGTTAGAGTGCATTACTGCAGGCCACTTTAGCTGACTGTGTTCAGCAGGTCAGCGGTTCAAATCTCACCGGCTCAAGGTTGACTCAGCCTTCCATCCTTCCGAGGTAGGTAAAATGAGAACCCAGATTGTTGGGAGCAATGTAAATATATATATACATTGCTTACTGGTGTACACCGCTTAGAGAGTGCTTGCACTTAAAGCGGTATATAAGTCTCATAAATAAATAAATAAATAAATAAATAAAGTCCACGAGTCATAAAAGAGTCAAGGCTGCCTACCCGTCTTAGAGGAATCTTACAGGGTGAAAGAGGCAGTTCTCGTCTTCCCATTGTCCTTTCCGTCTCTACCTACTTGCCACTACCCAGGTCCCAATGTGGCATGTCCCACATTTTCTCTATCCCTAAGATCATTTCATATACATTCGTCAATATTCACATATTTATACCGAGCAGAAAGGGGTTGCTCTTTACATATTTCATGCTTACCTGCCTCTCACAATGTTTTCTTGAAGAAGTTCACTTATAATATTTCTAATGTTTGAAACGTTCACTTTGTTGATGAGACCGTTGATGGACTTCTTCAGGGCTTCCCAACTCATTCTCTGATAGGCTAAGCTGTTTTTTCAAAATATACAAATTTACTAATGGACAAGAGGGAAAGAACTAGAGCAAAAGTTATATCAGACGGAGCGTTCAGCGGTGACACATCCATCCACTCTCACTTCTGTTTTGCAAAAGCAAAATACGCGAAGAAGAGATACTACGCCAAGCAATATTATTATGAACACTAAACAGTGATTTATGTTTTGCAAAAAAAAGTATCATCGACTATAGTCAACAGACAAAACCAGGAAGGACAATGCTACCTTCAGATTTTATCTCACCCAGCAGAAAAATTTGGCCTTCTCATTAAGAAACTATATTTATTCCTACATGAGACTGTCACAATAATGATGACTCAGCTATCTGAGCATGAAAAATTGAGGCCAAACCCCAATCTTTGAAGATTTTTCTAAATAAAGCTATAGAGCAGTCTTGCTTTCCTTTTTCTGATAAGAAAAGCTAAAAAGGGCTCTTCTACTTCCACATAATTAGGATTTTTCTGACATCAGACATGTCAATCTGCACCTTTCTCTATTCCTGCTTCTATACTGCTCTGTTATTTGGGCACATAGCATTAAAATCAATTTTTTCTTAATAGACTTTCAGTTAATTTAAAATATAAAATTTTAATTTAATTCTTATAAAATATAATTTTTTAAAAAAAATTGGTATACCTATTTTTATCAGTGATTTGTGCCTGCATCATCCTGAGCTTTGCTGGAGGAATGTATGCCCCGCCAGTACGGGTAAGGATTGGATCCACCTCCTCTTTCTTTTTCTTTGGAGGGGGCTCCTCACGTGAAAGAGGACTCTGTACTCCGGATTTCTCCATATTGTTTTTCCTATCAGGTGACCGGGACTTCCTGTGCTTCTTCCAATCAGATTCTCTCTCTCTCTCCTGTCTTTCTCTTCCTCTGAAATAAATAAATAAATAAAAAGAAATCTGCATGTTACATGTTCAAAGTACAAAGAGAGAAAAAAGCAAAATTTAAATATGATGCCAATAGTTCTAAGACTTCTTTTAAGCAAAATCCAAATCAACACTCCCTACAAAAGCTTACAAAAAAACCAGCAGTTAAACAACCACAAAGTTCAGAATTTTTAGAAGCATTTGACATTCACCTTGGTTCTGGGTATCTGTCATCGTAATGCCCCCTTCCCGAATGTTCTCTGTCAGATCTTCTGTGTTCCAAATAGCCTTTGCTTTGGGGTGATGGAGACCTCTTACGCTCCATGAACGTATCCCTGGATTAAGGGCAAAACTTGGTTAGCAATTACTTTTAAACACATCACAGAACTTGTGGACAGCCCGTTTGGGGTAGTGGTTAGGGCAGTGATGGCGAACCTTTTAGAGACCGAGTGCCCAAACTGCAACCCAAAACCCACTTATGCATCATCGGGTGCCGGGTGGGTGTGGCCCATTAGGTGGGTGTGGCCCATTGGGTGGGCGTGGCTGCAGTGTTAACAGCAGACTGGGTGGGACTAAAAAGTTCAATCAATCAATTCCAACTTTGCAAGATCTTTTTTTTTCCCGCGAGGTTGAAATTGACTGATTGATTGAAACTTTTTTTTTTTTTGTACACAGCGGTGGAGGCCTAAAGCGAAAAGGTTTTATAAAACCCAGCTGAAGGCCTAGGACTGGGGCAACGGCGCGTGTGCCCACAGAGAGGGCTCTGAGTGCCGCCCCTGGCACCCATGCCATGGGTTCGCCACCACTGGGTTAGAGTATCAGGCTACAAACTAGGAAACAGCAAATACAGTCCTGCCTTAGGCACAAAGCCAGCTGGCCAGTCCCTTTTCTCAGCCCAAGGAAGAAGGAACTGGCAAGCCTACTTCCAAAAAATGCTGCCATGAAAATTGCAGGCTGTTACAAGGAGTCAATGCTGACCTGAAGGTGTAAGTAAGTAACTAAGTAAGTAAATAAAAGTATGTATATATGTCCCTGCCAGCCACATTTACATGCCGTTCAATCTCCTTTATTGTATCACTTTCCATTGAGATCCATTGGCCAAGGTATATATGTAGTGGTCTACTATGTCTAGTTCTTCTCCATAGTTTTCAAGCATAATTTTCAAGAACAACCTCCCCCTATGCCTGAAAGGTTTCCGATCAGTGTGTGCTACCTCCTCCAACATATGCCAGTGAAACATGGACACTAACCTCACCATCAATACAAAAGTTACAAATGGTGCAGAGAGCCATGGAAAGATACATGCTCGGCATTACAAGACAAGATAGAAAGACCAGCACATGGATCATTAGAGAACAAACGACAGTATACAATATCATCAAGAGAGTAAAAGAACTGAAATGGAAATGGGCTGGCCACGTAGCAAGAAGAACTGATGGCAGGTGGACCAAGGCAGTCATAGAATGGATCCCACTTAATAAAAAGCACCATGGAAGAGACCTAAAAGAAGATGGATCGATGACAGCAGCGAGTATTGTGGGCCCAACTGACAAAAGAAATCTCAGGACCGTATTGGTTGGAAACATGTGGAAGAGGCCTTCATCCTGCAGTGGGTAGATAATGGCTAAAATGATGATGATGATGATGATGAAATAAACATATAATGGATTGCGTAACTTCAGAAAGCAAATAGTGTGTTTCAAATGTTCCATAACTGTCAACTTTGTATTGCACAGAACTTTTACTTTGTATGCAAAAATAATAAGAAAAAAGAGTGATGTTATTTTTAGTAATTAAACACTGAGGTCTCTGTGTTTATGCATATCCTTGAATTACTCCTTGGTTCAACGATTTTACAAGATTTAAATCATAAATCTTGCATCTAATCCCATCCCTTCTCATTCTTTCTACTGCTACCCCGATCCTTTCAAAACAGGTATCATCTTGATTATGACAGGAAAAGAAGCAAAGGGACAAAGAACATTCATAAATGGATATTCATATCCAGTATATCTGATATTCATACACATAACATACTTCTATGGTTTCTATAAAAATATTTGGAAATGGGACTTGATGGGAGCAGAATCCTCATGAGGCATCAGATCAGAATTGGCAGAGAAAGGAATGCATTCACACACGATGAATTCATTTCCATCCTTTCCACTGGCTCCACTACTAATTGTGTTAAGTCTGAAGAAAGATTCTTAGTGATTTCAGCTACATTCACCTAGCATTTCTCTACAGCTGGAATATACTTAGAACAGCAGAATTTTCTGCTGAGAAGATCAAGAGAGTAACCAATATCCATGGGGACACTGGGAAAACTGTTAACACACCTTTAAAAGGTATACATCTTGGACTGAAGATGTCAACTTATTAACAGCAACATAAGAAACTAAGCTAGAGACAGAACTTTCTGCAAAAACACCCATTGATCAAATATCTAATAAAGCATATAACAGGTAAAGTGGGTAGGTGTATAATGCATGTGTGCGTAAGAGAAAGACATATATACCCATCAAGGCACACAAATTACAAGCAATTATAGCACTATTGTCTGCATCTTCCTTTGATCAGAAGACACAAAACTGATGCTGCCAATTTATGAACTTGGCTTACTTCTTTAGATCAGACTGAAAGAAATGTCCCCTCTATTTACTTCTTTTCCATCAAATATCAAAACTGTCTGAAAGGAAGGCAAATCTAGGTTTAAAATGATTTCTATCCCAAAACAGTATTAGAATAAAAAGATGATGTATTTCCACTACCAGTTTCTCAGCTAATCTAAAATGACTAATCCTTGCAGGTAAACAGAGTATTTACCACTTCAGCTAACAGTTTCTCATATTTACAATTGCCTAAAATCCACTATAGAAATGCCTTTTAAGTTGTAGAGGGATTCTCAAATCTTAAAGTAGTTTAAATCTATTTTAAATTTTGAAATAGGGGTCCCCAACCCCCGGGTCTGCGACCGGCACCAGTACGTGGCCCACAAGAACTGACCCGCGTAAGCAAATGAAACCACACAACCCCTGGATTGTGGAAAAACCGCCCACCATGGAACTAGTCTCTGGTGCCCCCTGGTTTCCCTGGGGGCTACTGTTTTAAAATATTAAAGAAATCCTCTCCCCTCCTATCCCCCCATTATAATCCATTATTATTTATAGTGAGTTTTCACTGCATTTCATATAAAAAGACATTTTACCTGTCTTCTGGGGAGGCACTTCTCTGGCGAGTATGGTAAGCTTCCTTCCTTTCATATCTAGATCCAGACTGTAAAACATAAAAACATTCACATTTTATATAATAACTATTAGAGAACTTAAATGCAAAAATGTATACTCACAAAAAACTAATGTGACTATTTTTCACTTGTATCTGCAGGCCCATAACTGTACCGGCGACCCTTACAAACTGTGTTAATATTGCACTGAGAAACCACCTATTTTAAACCAGCTTTGCCCTCTTTTGGAAAAAACTATGTTTTTCTACTATTGTATTACATTAAATGGGAAAGAGTATTAAAATGTAATCAATATGACTGTGTTAAATTTTATACTGTTTGTTTTTACTTCATTTTATTATTCTACTTTATCGATTGTATGGATTGTAACCAACTCTGATTCCTGAACGTAACATCCAGTCTACAAATATTTTAACAAAAAAATACAGCATTTGACATAAAACATCAGTAAAAATTGCAGTTAGCCAACTACCAAGTAGTAACGACTACATAACTGTTCTCAATAAAATATTGATTATGTAGTAGATACTACAACTTGATCTTAACCCAATCACATTATACAAATAAGTATAGATTTCTTCTCAGATAAAGTTTAGTACTGGGGCTTCAGTCATGCTTCCATAAACTCAAACTGCTTTCCACATAAGACTTGTACCTCAGAAACATCTATAAACATTGAGAGAATTGGTGTCAGAATTAAGGGGATAGACTAGAAACTGGGAGTTCTAGTCCTCTTTAGGCGTGAAAGGAACGAACCATTTGCTATATGTACAGTTGCAGAATATGTGATTTTCATGCAAAAAGTCAATCAATCAATCAGAATAGAGCTAGGAAGGGACCTTGGAGGTCTTCTAGTCCAACCCCCTGCTCAAGCGGGAGACCCTATATAACTGTCAGATATGATTGAAAAATATTGTTTGAAACCCCTGACAGTCATTTTAGATAATGCTGGCTGAAATGATTTGACCTAGCATAGTCCTTCTCCAATAATCTACTCATAGGTTATTACTTGTGGCAATAAAGAGTACCAGCAACATTTACTCATACACTCCCTCTTTAAATTTACATTTTCATGATATAATAATGAAAATAATAGTAATAATAGAATAGAATGGCTGTGACAAAACGAAACAATTGGTCAATTGCAAAAAGCAGCTTTACTTGGAATAGCATACATCCTGTAATAATACTTTTAACACCATCAAACAACATCTGCCTATCTCAGGTCCTTGAGAAGGACTTGATAGGTGGATAAAAAAAGCCGAATCCAATCTGAACAACTGGTTGATTGTGTGACCAACCAGAATATATTAAATGTACACGCTACCTGACTCCCAGTGACTCTGGACAGTTTACATATTGTAAAAAGCATAAATAAAGATAAAGGATGTCAATCTTCCTCACCAAAAGACTGAGCAAAAAGCTGCCCCTTCTGAGGCACTTGAAATACCAGTGTGGATTTGCTGAATTCATGAAATTTTTTATAGCAGGAAGGATCTGTCATCTATGTCATAACTCTGACAAGCAGCTCTTAGCTTCTGCATTAAGAAATGAGTGTTTCCCTAAACATCAAAACTTTAGTCATTTAATATTATTTTTTTTAAAAAAACTTACATTCATTTTTGCTTCTTTTCATTCCCTCTTAGTCTTCCACTTTAAACTGAATTTCCAATGTAAGCGTTTCAAAATCAATGTGGAATGTTACTGTTATTCTTATAGCAAAAATAATTCATCTACAAAGAAAATAAATTGAGATTTGCTGGTATTGCTAAGACAAAATCAAAGCAGCCATAAACTAGTATTGCTGTCAACAATAAAATTATCTGCTTTTCGGTTAATCAATTTGACTACTTCAATCTATACTTATCGGAGCTTTTACAGAGTAGTTCTCATATAGCAGTGATGGTGAACCTTTTAGAGACCGAGTGCCCAAAAACCACCTCTGCCCCGCCCCCACCCCGCCCCCCCACAGGGCCACCCACTGCCTCCCCGGCCTGCCACAGCTGATCGCCCAGGCAGACCAGCAGCGACCACGCCCTTCGCCTGCGCCCCACAGCATCATCTGCGAGTGATGGGGCGCAAGGGCAGAGTCTTATCCTCACTGCCCAGCTGCCATGTCCTTGGCTATGCTGCTCCGCATGGGCTGCGCCCATGGGTGACTCTCCTCTGGGGGGCTGCTGGTGAGGAGGGGGCCACAAGGGGAGGTGGGGCTGGGTGACGACGCAGGTGCCCACAGAGAGGTCTCTGAGTGCCCCCTCTGGCACACGTGCCATAGGTTCACCACCACTGTCATATAGCGTATGTTAATATGAGAATTTGCTCATACTGGATTGATAAACAAGAGAACGATGTCTGTAAAACACAAACAATCTTCATTTTTACATCAGGTTTCTTAAGTTTCAATTCTGCAGTAATGAGAAGTGGTATTTTACTTTGTAATTATTATTGCTAAGAGGTACTTTCCCCTCCCTAATAAATCTGTATACTGAAAAGAATGTGCAAATGAAGCATGCTGGTGATAACATTTCAAGCGGAGAATGCTTTATTGACACAAAACAATGTGCCCATTTCTGCTTAAATGAAGAGACATCATGGGCAATCAGAAGAAATGTTAATCATATAAAAGCCAGGGGTTTTTTTAAAAGCAAGAACAAGTGTAGAAAGTCTATTAGAACAAGACAAAGAATTTGAAGAGATAGAACATCTGTTAAATGTTTTGGCTAAAGATCAGATAATGAAGATATTGGGGGCCAATTTTCTCACAGGACCTGAAAGCCATTAACAATGGTGTTTGGTGGCTTCGACCTGATTTCATCTGTGATTCAAAAGGCTTCAATGCTATAAAAGAGCTCCCCAAAATAAAAGCAAATTGTATTGCTCTCACAAAGCAGGCTGGGTTCAACAAAATAGAGCAGGGATGTCAAACTCACAACATCATGTGATGTGTTGTGAGGTATCACAACTTCCCCCCCCCCCCGCTGCTGGCAATGGAGTGGGTGCGGTTTTGCCATGACACATCTGGCCCGTGGGCCAGCAGTTTGACACCCCTGAAGTAGAGGAAGACTTACTTAGATAAGTTGTTTCAGTCCCATGTGCAGAGAACTTTCAATAAAAGAGCTGCAACACTTGCTGCTGAGGGCCAAGTGGAAGGTGAAGAAGAAAAGTCCAGCAAGCCAGTATAAAATCTTTAAAATAAAAAAAAACCACCTTCAAAATGTTCAGTTCTGAGAAAATTTTACATAAAAGTGAAACGGCTAGAAGATAACAATTGTAATGCCGAAAGGAACAGAATAGTAGTTTCTGAAGTTCAATTTTTATTTGGAGTCATGTAGGCAACTTTGGATAATGAGATGGGCAGCATATAAATATACAATAGTCAAATAAATTTCTTTTTGAAAGAAAGATGGCAAAAACAATAGACGTTGTTAAGCAAAGACCCAAGAAAAATACAGAAGATGTACCAAGACCCTGTAGATCTGGTATGATCATACTTCATACAAAGCTTGCATCCATATCTCCTTCACTTAATAATTGTCATCATTTTCCATCATTTGTCTCCATTGCTCTACAGCAGGGGTCTTCAAACTTGGCCCTTTTATGACTTGTGGACTTCAACTCCCAGAATTCCTCAGCCAGACACGCTGGCTGAGGAATTCTGGGAGCTGAAGTCCATAAGTCATAAAAGGGCCAAGTTGAAGACCCCTGCTCTATAGCTTCGCTCCCTTCCATTCCTTAGGCTTCAAACTTCATCACTTTTTTTTAAGGTAAGACATTAATTCTGCATTACTAAATTATGAATTTAACATGTTTTTTTCATGTTTTTTTCAAACTATGTAAGTACTTTATTAGGATCATTTATTGCTTTATTGATATATATGATCAGTCATCATTTCCAATTACTTTGTAGGACAATGTCTTAGACTGCATTTTTTTCCCAAATAGGCTTGTCAGCAGACTTTATGATGGAGATGAACATTTTTTTTAATATTTGGAGGGACTATACTGGACTGTAGGCTTTTACAAAGAGTAATGATGGGCAGGGCTGTCTAGATGCAGGACATATCCATTTTCTATATTGCTACATCTCATGTATCCACAGATGAACACTCAGAGGGGAAAGGAGAAGCTTTAACTCCCCTCCTTTCATTAATAAAAACTTTTTTTCTTTGTTAATAGTGACAGAGAAAGCTCTCATGGGTGGCTGAAGACTGAATGCAACCTGTAAATTGTCCATCTGGATTCCTGCACCTTTTTCTCTTGGCACCTTGGCAGGATGGGTCACAAAATCATTTATCCTTCATTACATGATAATGTGGATATGGTATTTTTTAAGAAGATCAAGCCATACTCCAGATACTACTTCCTTATGGGAACCAAAATTACATTTATCTGATTCATTTATCTTATCTTATCCCAAAAGACAGCATAGGAAAGCATACACTTTGAACATGGATACAAAACCTATAGACTATTCTTATGCAGACTATTCCTACATCCTCTCCTCAGTTTCTGCTAATGTTCAAAATGTAAATAAAAATTAATTCTAGTACTAGTACAGGAAGTCCTCAATAAATGACCATTTGTTCAGCAACTGTACGAAGTTATGATAGTCACAGTGTCTTGCAGTCATGTGATCACAACCCAGATGCTTGGTAACCAGCTCACAATTACAATGGCTACAGTAACCTGTGGCCACATAATTGCCATTTGGTACATTAACTGCTGGCTTCTGACAAGCAAAGTCAATAGAGGAACCAGCAAGAGGTCACAAACAGCAATCATGTAACGTTGCACCTAATGATCATGGAGGATTTGTCCAAATACTGCAACTGGAATTGTAATAAGTTGGCAACATCATGTGAGGTTGTGCTTTATGATCACAAATTCCTGGTGCCAATTATTGTCATTAACTTGTATGCTGAATGTAATCCTAACCAGGAAAGGAGACAAAGGTGGTGGTGTTGGTGGGGGGACCCACAGCCACTTAAAAGGTGAGAGAAAGAAACTTAGGAGAGACCTGTCCTAATGGATGAGGCAGTTAAAACTCAGTGTGAGATCTGTAATTTCAGATTTGTAAGCTTCTGTTAATGTAGCCTTACAATAAATTTAGCATTAGTATCTGAATTGTATTGACAATGTGGTTGTGCTGTTTGATGAGGGTGGTCAGTATCTACTTGTGAAACAAAGGTGAAAGGGATTTAAGAATGTGACTATAGTAATTTTAGTCCTATCTGCTTCCCTGTTTAAAAAAAAAACCCTTCCCCACATTTCACAAAATTGCTATGCCATCAGTGTCAACATTCAGCAACTGAAAATGAGAAATCATAGCAGCCTTTATACATCAAGAAAACCCAGACAGTTCTCCGTTTAACAGAAATCTTGAAGTCGCCTTCATGTTGTCTCTTAAGTCTCATGACAAAACAAAAACCCCAACTAGGATAAACAGTTGTGGAGAACAGGCAAAAAGGAAAAAAGTTTCTACGAACTGGCAAGGCTTTTTATCGGATCTCCTTCTAGGGAAGCATAGGCGCTGGGGCAGCATGGTAGGCAAATCACGGTACTTCCCGACACAACCCGATTTCAGGAGGGGAAAGGGAGATCGCGTAAGGTCACGTTCAGACATGCAGACACCTACACGTGTTGGAATGAATACTGAGTCGCTTCCTACAAGCACCGCTTCTGAGGAGCTGCGGGTGGCGGGGAAGCTCTCTCGGATCGTCCCGAAGCACAAACTTCGTCCACGCCACGCTCGTGACCCTATCGCTTCCCTCCACCCCGGCGATCGAAGGGGAGGGCTCCAAACAGAGAAGAAGCTAGAGCTCCGGCTGCGAGGAGACGACGTCAAAAAGCCCGCTCCCCGCGGCCTCATAAACTTACCTGACCCAGACCAACTTCCACCATAAGCATATGCCCGCTTGCAGGAATGACGCCACTTCCGCTTACTTGCCCACCAATTAGAGGCAAGACTAAAGGCGGGACTTCCTTTTTCCCCCTCCTTGAATTATTGCTTATGTTAAGTCCAAGCAATCAACATTGGGAAGGAAAGGGTTAAGAGAAACGTCCCCAAAGAGCGGGTTCTTGCTTACCTAACAGCAGCTTCCGGCGTTCTAGCTATTAAACACGGATTGACTACATTTCCCAACATTCCTTATGTTCGATACTTTTAGAGAGTGTCTGTTGTTGTTGTTAATTGCGAAGTCGTGTCCGACCCATCGCGACCCCATGGACAACGTTCCTCCAGGTCTTCCTGTCCTCTACCATCTTCTGGAATCCATTTAAATTCACACCTACTGCTTCAGTGACTCCATCCAGCCATCTCATTCTCTGTCGTCCCCTTCTTCTATTGCCCTCAATCTTTCCCAGCATTAGGCTCTTCTCCAGTGAATCCTTCCTTCTCATTAGGTGGCCAAAGTATTTGAGTTTCAACTTCAGGATCTGGCCTTCTAAAGAGCAGTCGGGGTTGATCTCTTCTAGGACTGACCGGTTTGAACGCCTTGCAGTCCACGGGACTTGCAGGAGTCTTCTCCAGCACCATAGTTCAAAGGCCTCAATTCTTTGGTGCTCAGCCTTTCTTATGGTCTCCTTCACCCGCATCAAGAGGCTCTTTAGTTCCTCTTCACTTTCTGCCATTAGAGTGGTATCATCTGCATATCTTAGGTTGTTGATATTTCTCCCGGCAATCTTAATTCCAACTTTTGATTCATCTAGCCCTGCCTTTCTCATGATGTGCTCTGCATATAAGTTAAATAGGCAGGGCGACAGTATACAGCCTTGCCGGACTCCTTTTCCAATTTTGAACCAATCAGTGGTTCCGTGTTCGGTTCTCACTGTTGCTTCTTGACCCGCATATAGGTTTCTCAAGAGACAAATGAGATGGTCTGGTACTCCCATCTCTTTAAGAACTTGCCACAATTTGTTGTGATCCACACAATCAAAGGCTTTTGCATAGTCAATGAAGCAGAAGTAGATGTTTTTCTGGAACTCCCTAGCTTTCTCCATGATCCAGCGTATGTTGGCAATTTGATCTCTAGTTCCTCTGCCTCTTCGAAATCCTGCCTGTACTTCTGGTAGTTCTCGATCCACATACTGCTGGAGTCTAGCTTGTAGGATTTTAAGCATAACTTTACTAGCATGTGAAATGAGTGCAATGGTGCGATAGTTTGAACATTCTTTGGCATTGCCTTTCTTTGGAATTGGAATGTAAACTGACTTTTTCCAATCCTGTGGCCACTGTTGAGTTTTCCAAATTTGCTGGCAAATTGAGTGTAGCACTTTTACTGCATCGTCTTTTAAGATTTTGAATAGCTCAGCTGGAATACTGTCACCTCCACTAGCTTTGTTGTTGCTCAGATTTTCTAAGGCCCATTTCACTTCACATTCTAGGATGTCTGGTTCGAGGTCAATGACCATCTCATTGTGGTTATCTGGGATATTAAGCTCATTCTTGTATAGTTCTTCTTTGTAGTTTTGCCATCTCTTCTTAATCTCTTCTGCCTCTGTTAGGTCTCTGCCAATTTGGTCCTTTATCATGCCCATCTTTGCATGATGGTCTACTGCTGTCAAGATTTTTGAGTGGCAAAGAGTTTTCGGAGAATTTTTATGGTGAACTTGAAATAGAAGTACCTGGAGCCTATAGAAATTCGGAATAAGTTATTTTTTTTCCTTCCTACCCCTCTCACTTTCCTTTTCTCCCTAGCAGAAACATAGGTTTTCTTAATAAGTGTATAACGCAGGCAGACAGCTAATAACAGTTTTTATTACCAAAGAGAGAGAAGAAGAACTGTTCACTTGTTGAATTTCTGCCACCTTGTGTATATTTTTGCATTGGCTAAAAATTATAACCAATGTGAAATATCGAATTTAACACATATATATTATGGTAGGTGGATAGAATAGTCCACTTTTCGTATATTTCTGACAAAAGAAAAGGAATGGTTGATTCAAAGTTTAAGGATGACCAAAATACTGAGCTGTTTTCAATAATCCAAAATTTGTAGAAAATCCCAAAAAGTACACTCACATTTGAGATTAGGAAAGATACTACAACACTTAGTTTGTTATATGTTGCCTAATGTAGAATTTCAGATTTCCAAGCCTGGAACAGTCATTTGTGACATTTTGGTCAGTCCTTAAAGGGGATTTCAAGCTATGGATTTTGCAGTTTTTCCAAAATGGATCTGGTTATGATAGTTTTTTTTTAATCCAGTAAATATTTGATTTATGAGATGTTGAATGTTTGAGAAAAAATATGATTAACATGGGCCTTAGTAAATCTTGATCATATCAAGAGGACTAATTTCTAAGTAATTGGGAACTCAGAGTCTAGAATGGTGAATTCCTATGGATGTTTATAGATTAAGACCCATTGTCTTCAGCAGAGCCTAACTGTCTTTTAAGCTAAGGATTACAGCTTTAGTACAGTAGTTTCTTAGTTTCCATGATTGAAATTAAAGTAATTTGTCTTGTGTGAAACTGGTAAATACTAGTAAGTCCATATTAGACTATGGAAATTTGGGGATGTCAGACTTATTTTTTGTCTTTATATTTTTTTCAAAGACTAAAAGCTTGTCCTTCATTTTATGACCAAAATACTAGAGAAAACAGCTTAAAATGATGAATCTTCTCTGAAATGCATATAAAAGCAGCAGGTATATAAGAGGATGACAATAAAGTAACAAGTCTCTATATTACAAGAGCTTTTTTTTCAGACATCTTTTGTCTTTAGTGAATATTCTGTGTTGCTAATTAGCATTTTCATGTGAACTCAGTGAGATGTTGATGAAATTGTCACAGTTCAGTAGTCATAGGCAAGCCCTAATTGTCGTAACACCTAACTCATAGCAGGCAATATAGCACTTATCTCCTTGGATGCTGTATCTATAATACATTTTGATGAAGAAGCAGTTGGCTCTTTTATCAGAAGAAGCCTGTTCCTTGCATTTTATGTTTGAAAGCCAAGATCAAAAATGCTGAAGTATAGAAAAACCTTTGGAAATACAGATCGAAACAAATGAGAAAGCAGAAAGATTTCTTTGCAAAATGTCATCTGTGGCAGCAGGAATATTTTGCAAATAAATCAGTATTTTTTGCTGTTTCATGAAAATGGCCATTTTGTTGTTGTTATATAAATGTGTGGCCAGATAAGGCATTGTGTAAATGTGATTCCCTTTAAAGCTAAATGTTGCACAGGATCTGGAGGTTTGAAGGACCATCCATCTCCTAGTATTTCTGCCCACCTTAAAAAATCAGACCGAGTTGGTCTGTCCTGGTATAGTTTTACAAGCGTTCCGGTTTCCTATAACATTGCAACATGCCAGATTGCAATCTTCAAGCTGACCTAGAGATTTATTGCATCTACTGACCATCTGAGATCTCTTGAGGGCCATTAGATACTTGTTCTCAGCCATTGATGATATCATTTCTATATAAATGTATTTCCTCTTCCCCCTCCCTTCAGAGTTCCACTTCCAGTTGCCACTAGTGGAGCAGCTGCCCTTTATCTGTGGCATTCCCTGAGTCCATTGCTTGCCAAGTCACATCACTATTCTTGCTAACTTGTCTGCTAATTGACTGTTGCTCTTTATATAACAGAGCTTATATTGCTGATAGATGCTTATGCTTCTTCCACCCTGTGGATGTCACTCTTGGCCTCAAGTACTTTCTAGCCAAATCTGTCATCTTCTTTTCCTCTCCACTTGCTGCTCAAAGGAAGAGGGCAAAAAGGAAAGACTGTTGTTCCCTCCCAACCCTGTCACTCTTGATCTTGCCAGGTATAATGGCAGTGTTGTTGTTAGAGTAAAATAAAAAACTGTGAATTGTAAGCAAAAGTCCATAATGCACATATGTTCTCTCGCCTACACACAGAGATCACTGTGGGGAAGAAAGCTATTTTACCTGATAATGATTGCTGAAGCAGGAGAAATATGACAGAGAGAGAGAGAGAGAGAGAGAGAGAGGGAGGGAGGGAGGGAGGGAGGGAGGGAGGGAGGGAGAGAGAGAGAGAGAGCAATCAAATTTAGGATTGTCTGAAATTTAAAATAGGGAGTAAGGAAGAGGACCTTGATGGACATATGCAGGAATCTTTGCCTAGACATTATTTAAGTCCAGAACTATATGATCATGCAAATGCCTCCTTAATCTATTGACGTGTAAGGAGGAGGAGGAGGAGTTACTGCACATTCAGATGTGCAAAATTTTGTTATATTTCTATATAAGTTGTTTTAGTCTTACTGTGGAGCTGATTTCTTGGTCTGATTCACTTAGTAGGGCTGACATTTATCCTGATGGTGAACCTTTATTGGGAATTACTTTAGACTGTTCCCACCCCTGGTGAGATTTTTGGGACCCCCCTCTTAAGCTCTCCTCAGCAAGCAATTCCTTTTGCAGCAAGACTGATGTTATGGTAGTAACAGCAAAGGGAAGAGTATCTTGATTAAGACTGCTGGGAAAGGGTGGACTTCACCTCAGCCGTTTTTGCAGGTGCAAATGAGGATGGCTATTTCCCAACAACTTGGAAGCTGAGAAAATAAAAAGTGCTTCTGGGTGAGCTGATTCAAAAGTGATAGAAAGCTCCACATGGGTCTTCATCAGGGTCCAGTCCAAGCTGGGAATAAAAAAAATGGAGACTGCTTTAGAAAGAAGGTTGTAGTTTATTGAAGAGCAGAGCCAGACAGAAAGGTAACTCTGGGAAAGTTGACCACCTGTTGCTGGGAGTGGTGATCAAATATTTATACCTTCTTGAGCTTTTGTTTGGAGTTGTTCCTGTGGCATGAACTTTGACCTAAGTCTGAGTGTACCTTTCTGGTATTCTGATGGTGGTGGATTAATCCTATTATGTCCCAAAGGTCATATCATGCTTCCCTGGGGATGTG